GCGGATGAAATTTCCGTAAAATATCAAATTGAAGTGTTGTGTGTTAATGGTGTGATTGTAGAACCATTGAGTTGTAGTCTCCTTTGGTTATTGAAAAATAATGAAATTGGCTCATGTACTAAAATGAATTGAAGGAGAATGAAATGAAATATGGATTTGATATTCTATGACTATATAAAAATGTGAATGTTTTATCCCTAACATTGTATATGCACATTGCACTTATATCTTTGTTAAATCTCATATTTTGTGTTAAATTACTCCTACTGGGCTGTAGCTCACCCTATTTGAGAAAAATATTTTCGGGTATTGATGGCATGTCTCCACTAAGGCAATAGCATTGGAGCGACTTTTGGGAAGCAAGAGCTTCTTTGTTTTGTTTCACATTTTGTATAGCCTAGGGCTTAAATTGTACGAGCTAGTCTCACTTTTGTTATAACGAAGCCAATACTTGGAAATGTGTAAGCCTAAAGGGCATTTATTTATGCTGAACTCTTTTGTACTATTAATATTATGAAATGAAAAAACTTACACTCTAATGCATGCCGTTATTTACATATATTTGGGTTGAGCTTATGGTTATATTTTGGAGGCATTACATTTCGTTTAATTCACACAAAAATTTGAATTTTTTTATTTTATTTTTTACTAATTTTTTTAATATCTTAAGAAATTTTTTTTTTTAAAATTTTTTTAGATACACCTAATCTAGATATACTTAAGGAATATAATGTTTTGTGATTTTTTTTTTAATTCACCAAATATAAAAAAATGCAAAAATTCAGTAATATTGTAATAAATGTGAATAAAGGTGTTTGGTAATACTGTAATAATGTGGTGAATAGACGAGAAAGAAAAATAATGCTGGAAATAAAATTGAAAAATTCTATTCATACATAAAAATTTATACAAAAAAATATTATAAAAATGTTGTGATAGTGATACTGTTGTAAATATAAATCCTGTTTATGGATGTTTTGTCTTAAAGTGAAATGTCACTATTTATATCATTGTGTTTGAAAATTTTATATTTGTATATCATCACTTAATAAGAATATATTCAGGTAGAATTTAATGATAAAAAGTTTTAGATTGTAGTCATGATAATAGGAAGAAGAAATGGTAAAAAAAAAGGCAAAATAGTCATTTAACAAATTTTAGGGCATGATATCACCAATGTAGGAGACCATTTGTGATGAGATTACAAACCTCAGAGAGGAAAATGTAATTTTTCAAATGTAAAGAAGAAATATATATTAAACAAAAACCTCAGGGTGTCATTGTAATTTACGCTATATTTTTTTAATGCAATTTTCTATTAGATCAAGATTCAAAGGATTTTTCTTGACCTAGCTACAATATGAAAAGAAAAAATGGAAAACCTATAGAGGACAAAAAAAAAGGGTATTAAGAGTCTTGCCATATGTTTGGTTTGTGTTTTGAGATAAATTTTTAAAAGAAATTTTGGAGAGAGTTTTAATTTTTTTTTTTTGGTTTGTTCTGTTGTATATTTTAAAAATAATTTTAGACTTTGAGATGATTTGATATTTTGTTATAGTTGAGTAGATGTGTGTGAGAGAAAAAATGATTGATTGATGTGTAGGAGAGAGAAAGCGATTGTGGAAATTTTTTTAAAAAAATTTGAATCAAATAAAATTTAAAAAAAAAATCAAAAATTGTATTTTAAGATACAAACCAAACAAGCCCTTGTAATCTAGAGCACTGATCGCTTACACGTTGGCTAAGGATGAAACAAATTCATTGAAAATATTGAGATCTTTCCAATGCTGAGTTTCGATCTTATGTCAATAGATAACTAATAAGAAAATATTTTTAAGGCAGTGATAGAGAGCTCTAACACAAAAGTTTTAACATGAGCTCTAATAAGGTGTTAAACCAAAAAAAAAAAAAAAAACAAACAAACAAACAGCCAAGCTAAAATGTCATATTATCATGTGGGTTAGAGCTCTATTAAAATTTTGTAACTCAAAACTCCCGAGCATTATTGATATTTTTATTATAGACCTAAGCTGCACCATGAAGAAAGCAGTGTCTAGCCTAAATATTTGTATTATTGTGGTTATCAGAATCCCTATAAGCAGGCTTCGATCTCGGTAAAAAAAAAAATTACTTAAAATGGCACTATAATCTTGATTCTATTATTTATTTATTTTTTTGATAAATAATTGAAAAAGTATTAAAATGATGCAATGAATACAAAATCAACTGTCCCAACGGCCTAACAAAATTAACAATCAAACCCTCTACAAAGTCTACAAAAGCTAAAACATCTAGTTCAACTGAGTCCATAATCTAACTATATAACACCATAAGAAGTTGTTGCTTTAACCAAGAAATTAAATTACGTTCCAACCAAATCAATCACATTAAACAGTAGGAAGTGGGAAACCATGCCTTCCGACGTCTTCTCCCTACCCAACCCCCGCCCAACTTTGCAATAATGCTCGCATAGAAATCGACTGCACTCAAATCAATCCAAAAGTTGCAACAATAAGCCTCCAAAGCTGAGAAGCAACCGGACAAGAGCAAATTCTATTATAATTTTGACTTTGCCAACCTTTTTTCTTTATTATTTATCATTTTTTTTATTATTAAAAACGCATTATTATTATTATTATTATTTAAGGTAACATATCAGATGCAATTATAACAAATTTATTATTCATGTTTGATGATTTTTAAATTATTTAATATAAATTATCATTATTAATAATGTTTTATTTTATTCTATTTTATATAGAAAATAGAATTTTACAATTTTGATCTGATACACAAGTCCTTTCAAAGATCCTACATTGAATTTTGATTTTAATAACATTGTGAGTTACTATGAAGACAAGATCCAGACACTACTTAAATGTTGAAAATAATAATAATAAAATATGAAGACAAGATCCAGACACTACTATTATTTATTTATTTTACTAATTTATAATATTCATGTACAGGAAACAAAATGCTTGGTGGAAAATTTGCAAGCAGACAGCTCCAATCAAGGTTAGGGAATTTTAATTGTCATCAACTTCAGGAAAATATTCTGTATCAGAAGTTCAATTTTCCTTGGGGTAGAACATCATGTGGACAAACCTTGCATAAAATCCACCAAGCATTTGGGAAATTAATCTCTACAAAATCCCATTTCCTCAACTATGATGGTGGGTGCTCCACATTTTTTGTTTCAAAATTTACTTTACCATTTGTATATTTTTGTTTTCAATTCAAAAGCAAGAAAGATCATGAATCCTACCAAAATGTTGTTGGGTAGGGTCAATATTACAAAGGAAAATGAGTTGGACCCCCTCAATGAGGCCCCTTTGACTCCCTCTCTTTCTGATTGGCCAGTTTTTTTTTTTTCTCCTTCTCCTCCAATCACCACCCGCCACGTATGTGTGGAGGTAGTGGGAGTAGTGACTGGAGGGGTCTCAATCACTTTCCTATTACAAATCATCTCTCTATTATAATTGTAGCAAAATAGAAATTAAATAAGTACTCAGAAGTGATCAACAACCTTCTTTGAAAGCATAACATGGCTATTGGTTATATTGACGTTCTAATGCTTCCTCTGTATGACCAAATAGTCATCCCATATTTGATAGTCAAACAATCATAATTGGGGTAGTTAGGAGCAAGTTATGTGGAGGCCAAGTTTGGGAAGACTAAAAAAGTGCACTTTTTGTCTTTTTGGACTAAAAAATTGAGGTTGAAAATATGGATGTTTGGGTTAACTTTTTGACTTTTTATTGAAAAATGTGTAATAAAAAAATGAAAAAATTGATTCGTAGGGACCTATTTAAATTAAAATCACTTTTCAAAATAAGCAAAATTCAAAATTTTATCCTTTGACTTTTGGTGAATAGTGTTAACTTTTTAACTTTTTGAGTAACTTTTTGACTTTTTAACTTTTTTAGAAGTACCCAAACTTGGCCTTATTTATCAAAAAGTCACACTCTAACTTTCAAAAATTAAATTTATCACTGTAATTTTTTTAAAAAAAAAAAAAATCAATTACTTATACTTCCCGCATCATATTTCAATACAAATGAACACAAATAAACTTTTATTTCATTTTCTAACCCTAAATTAATTATTATCAAATTATCTACTTAATCTCTGTATTATTGATTAAGTCTACTAAATCTCTAAAATATATAAATTAAAGTCTGAACTATTGATTGAATCTATTCAATTCTTAAAATATTTAATTCTTAAAAATATTACAAAAATAAAATATAAGCCCATAAATATTATAAATTAGTAAAAGACCCTACTAAGTTAAGTTTTTATTGCAAAAAAAACTAAAATTTATATTGTGTCTTTAAAAGGTGTTTTGTTTCGTTGTGTGTTTAAATTGGTATAGAGTCCGATTTATCAAGTTTGCCAATAAAATTATATGAGTATTATATATACTAAAGTAGTAGAATCAGATAATTTAAATAATAGTATTTCACTACAAATAATAATAGAATAAAATAATATATTAATTAAGTTATTAGAAGAACTTAACGAAAAATTTAAAGACAAATAATTATAAATTATAAACGAAATCTGACATATAACACTACACAAAGGCAAATAAGTAGATATTATAGAACAGTAAGAAAACAGTACAGATAATTACTTTTATCCTTATAAAAAAAATTCACCAGAAGAAATGACGCCCTCTTTTTAAAGACATAACCAAAATTTAAGGTTTTCGGCAATAAAATACTAACTAAGTAGGGTCTTTTACTAATTTATAATACTTATGAGCTTATATTTTATTTTTGCAATTTTTTTAAGAACTAAAAATAATTTTGAATTAAATACCTTAAGGACTGAATAGGTTCAATCGATAATTTAGGTTCTACCTAGACTTTGATTTATATATTTTAAGGATTTAATAAACTTAATCAACAGTTCAGTAGCTAAGTAGACAATTTGACAATAGTTTAAAGGTAAAAAGTGAAATAAACTCAACTAAAAATAAATCAAAACTCATAAACAAAAGACAAAATATCCCAATAATTTATTATTTTGATAAATTTATCAGAGTATGATTACAGTACCAAATGATCATTCCATAAATACAAAACACATCTAAACAGTTTCAAAACTTTCTCATTATCAAAACAAGGGGCAAATAAGTATTAAAAAAATCCACTCATGACTTATGAGTAAATAACCTACTGGTAATTATCCCTAAAATGTGAATTGCTAGTAAATATACAAGTAACAAAATATAATTTGTAGCTGTCTTTGAGACTGGAATTGAGCAAAACTGTTTTCCATGCAATTGGTATTGGCTAGTAGTGATGCTCTCCCAAATAAAATTCCAGAACTTAGGCTACATGGATGAAGTCCTAGCTTTGCATTGGGCTGGCTGATTACGAGGGCAAGCAAGTACAGTTTTCACTATGGAAAAGCATGGCAGTTTCACCACCATCCTCATCTACTTCCATTATTGCTTGATTAGTCGCAATCTGCTTCATTGAACAATAAAATTCGAGCAAAATAATGAGTTTGAGCAAAACTAACATAATCACAACATCTTGATGCATTCTCCAATATTTTGTGGAGATACGAGTGACATCGTACTCATTAATAGTGTACACTTCTTGAACCTGAATCCACTCTAGTGTGTTATTTCCCGCGAGGTTTAGAGATACTATATTTCATATTACAATTGAGTGAGAAAAGAGAATTATTTCAAGCAAGTCATTAGTTTATTGGAACGGCTTTGTTTTCAATGTCCAAAGACTCCAAATTATGCAAACATTAGCATTTGGGGTCTGACTTTGCATGGAAATTTGCATGCTTAAAATGTAATGGCTCAGAAAAAATTGTTTCTTAGAAAATAGTAATTCTGCTGAAGTAGCTGAGGAATCATGAAACTAAGCTGATTGTTAGGCTTATTTGAAGAGACTTTTGAGCTATTGATCAAACTAAGTTGTTACACTATAGTTTAATCTTTTTGAAGCCAAAAGAAGTGCACAGAGTCATAATTTTTGTGGTTTGAGTAGTTCGTGTTGTCAATGAATCTTACTTGAATATGAAATTTTTAAGCAAGAGTGGATTAGAATTTGAAGGTTTAACATGATTGCTTGTTCGAGTAGTGAATGAAGTTTGGGGACTGTTTGTTACAGCTTTTGCGGGGTTAATTATAGCTTATTTTGATTTGGGAGTCTGTGTCAAACTGTTTGATGCAGCTTTTGCTTATAGCTTATTAAGCAGAAATAGCTTAAATAAACTGAAGAAAACTGATTATTTGAAAGCTGTAGTAAGGGTGCTTTTAGCTTCCGTTTTCTGATTATCAGCTTTTAACTTAAAAAAAACTCTACCAAACAGGGCCTTAATATTCTTTCTTCACAGAAGAGGTGGAGATGGTCTGGATTGATTAAAAAATGGTTCTAGGAACGTTGAATCACAAGAAAAGATTTTTCAACATGACAACTAGAGAGATTTGTGCAGTTTACTATCACTAATTATATTGTTGTACACAGAAACTAATACAATGATATATGTTGCTCATCTCCGTGTTCATCTCACTTGGTCTTTGATGCAAACTCAGTCTTAGAGACATTTTATCTTGAGGAAAACATATTTTTGACAAACCGACACTTGCACTGTGTTTGGTTCAAGAATTTGGGTTGGGATTTGAAAAGGGAAAGGGATAAAGTGTGAAACTTCACTTACCCTTTCTTTTAATTCCTTCTAAATTGTCTCAACCAATCACGTTAGAATATAAACGAGATAAGAGTAAACGAATGGTTTACCTTTGAGTTGTTTCTGGAGGAGAAGGCTTGCTTGCGATGGAGAGGCCATCGAGAGAGAGAGAGAGAGAGAGAGAGAAGGTTCTAGGCTATGCCGAAAGAGGTGGGAAGAAAAGCTTGCCTCTTTATTTGGTATCGACCCTATATATACCGGGTATCGACCCTATATATACCGACACAATTCTCTATCTATATACAAAGGGAAGAGAGAGAGAGAGAGTGTGTTCCGACTCACGCCCCTCACTTTCTCTCAAGGATCTCCTATTTCTCTCTCTGTTTCTCTTCATAGAAAAGGGGCGCTGTAAAACGGTGGGAGCCGGTGGGTTGGTCCTACGGGTGGGCACAAGTTGGCCACGAAATTTTTAATTTGTTATTCATCTATTAAATTAGTGAATTAAAAAAAATTAATTTGCAATGCGAATTCATTTAGCGGTTTAAAATTTAAAAAAAATTTCAACATAGTTTAACTTGTATATTTTCTCAAAAAAAAAAAAAAGTATTACAATCAATGACTTAAAAAAATATTACAATTACTGCATACATCATTCAAAGAAATAAAGTTTGAAATTTTAGAATATCACAATCACTGCATACCTCATCTACATATTACAATCACAACATACATCATGTACATAAACTATTACAATCTGTAATTCTTAAAATATAAAAACAATTCAAACCACTAAAACCATGAACAGAGCAATAGTAGAGATTGTATGTCTCTGTAATGTTACATTTATATATGTTTTTTAAAACAAAAACCAATCAGCATATATCATATTTTCTATTTATTACATTTAGAGTTAGACTTAAAAACCAAAAAATATAGATAAATAATACGTTTATTTTTTTCAATTCAAAAAATATATTCAAGTTGAAATCTTTTTTTCAACAGAATATTTGACCTCTTTTTCAATTGAAAACACAAACAAAATATTTAAACAAATTAAAAAAACAAAGTCTTATAAATTACTAAGAGTGCTCGCGGTTTGGCGGTTC